CCTCTTCAATAACACAGTGGTTGTGAACACTATCACAGTACAGTAAACTAACATACAACTAACATATCATGGGTACATTAACCTCTACTTGGCTTCTTTAGTAACACAGTAGTTGCAAATACTATCACAGGGCAGCAAATATAGTAGTTGTGAATATATATATCACAGGTCAGTAAACAATTAAATAACATTACTTATGACTTAAAGACAATACTACTTGTAATTGAGAAAACTGGAGTGATGTAAAAGCAATGTTACTTACGTACTATGATGAAAAAAAATGATAAACAGAAGAATGATGGCAACAATAACAAACATTTGACACATTGGAATAAAGTAACAAACAATTAAATCGAACTGGTGTATTCAAGTGTTTTACACTCACATAAAAGAAACATATCATTCTATGCATTCTATGCATTCCGCCACAATTTAATTCTTCATATTGTTAGCCGACACTTGTTGTTAAACAAACGTTTAAACACCTCTATTTATTCAACAAACAATTAGTTCTTGAACACTTCAGAATGTACACATTCCATCTTTAGCAAGCTATATTTAACAAGATAAAATAGCAGACAGAGAAAAATTTATAAAGTTCAAACATTTTATGAAGACTAAAGCTGTGTTATTATTTAAAGTTGGGAGTTCATTTATAATAGATAAACTTTCTTTAATTAAAAGTTCAATATTGGATGATCCTGTTGAGATGACTTTGAAATTCATAATCACGATGGGGTGGTTAGTGTTTTCATTACGTGTGTGAATTGTAGAGTATAGAGGATTCGATAGCTTCTTACCAGTTTTTATTCATAAGTTCAACTAAATTGATATCTAAATCACCTTTCAAGATACAAAATCTATTCAGATCTAATGAATGATTACCTACAGTATATGCATTTCAGGATCATGTATAAATACACATGTGTTGGCTTTAATGACACTTACATTGGCAAAACTATAAGCCTTCGAACATATGGGAGTATCAAGCAGGGTTTTAAGTATTGTTAAAATCTGCGACTTCAGTACTAAACTTTGCTTACTTAAAAAAGGAACAATCAATCTTAATGGGTCTTTGTGTAATGTTTCTTTGGGGGGTTCAATTTCGTGAGAAATGAACTTACATGTTCGGGCTTGAATAAAATGCAAGGGATAGCCGTTGATTATTAGAATGCTCTGTAAGGTGGTGATTTCAGTATGACAGAGAGGTAGTTAGAATACATGTTATAACTCTACTGAGTAGATTAAGTATAAGGTTATGTTTAAAGGAGTTAGAAATAAAATTGGGGACTAAAAAAATGAAGTGATGAAAAAACATTACTTATGATTGAAAAAAGGGAGTGGTGTCAAGACTTGGTAGTCATGATTGATTTTATAATTGTAATATAAAAATTAACAAGTTCTGTAGTTTAGAAAATTAATTACAAAAATTGTGATGTAAGGAAAATGATATATCTAGTTATGAGAAATATCATATAAAAAACAATATTACTTCTATGTTCAGGAAATTGTGTGTGAAAAATTAAGTAATTTAAAAACAATGTTACTTCCAATTCCGAGATAAAACATACAAACACAATAATTACTTCTATTGGTAAAAAATGCACTGATCTAAAGACAATGTTACTTCTTGTAAGAAATGTACCATTATAAAGCAGACAAGGGGTATTCAAATACATTTGAATACAGCTTTGGGAGTATTCATACTTGTATTTGAATATTTGGTAGGGAAAACTAAATTATTCAAATTCAATGGCATAGTATCCGTAGTTGCTGAAAAATTTAGTGAATACTTAATATTGTAAGAATAAATGTCAACTTTTGTACTCATCAAATTTCTAGATTGCCATTATTACATCTGCAGCACGTTAATTTCTCTTTCAGTACAGAAAACAGTGTAATATAAAACATCATATGACAGATGAAAAACCTTGGCTTTTTATTGGTTATAAATAATATAGTACTGAATGTCAGAGAGAACTACTGACAAATCCTGAAAGAGAAGATGTGATATGTGGGTCTGATTTTCTATTTGATGGCTCTGTAATCAACCAAAATTGGAGGGATGATAAATAAATTAGAGAAGAGGGGATGCCTAGAGAAAAAAAACAACACATTTCTCATACAAGGGGAAATTCAGAATTTTTTTATTTTTAAATATTGCCTTATAAAATTAAGAACTTAAAACATGTATCCTATTAAAATATGGGTTGTTAACTATGTTTTTATGTTATACTAATTGGTATAACATGAACAGAAAGTAGTTTAATTAAATTTTGAACATAACTTACTAAAAACATTGTGACACATGCAGTGAAGGATGCTCATGGCAAGAGGGTTAAAATCAGGTCAATACTCTCCAACCACCTCAAAAGTTATTGTATTACATGGTTATTAATCCAGTCAAGTCACTTAGGAGAATTTAAGATGGCTACTAAACTGCCTTCAGTTGTACATGAACACTTCATACTTCCTACTGCTAGATCTGGTCACATCAAGATAAAGTGTAAATATTGTGAGCAGACTATTTATACTTCAAGAAATACCACTTCTAACCTGCTGACACAACTGAAGGCAAGCCTTCTATTATAAACTATATTTGATTATTTTAATTATAAACTATATTCTAGAGTTAAACTAAATTTCTCATGTTTTGAGCTATATTCATCATTTTTATTTATCATTATATGTTTTTCATTATAATATATATTCTATAATATATAACTGAGATACACTTTTGTATTTCTAGTGTAATCATGAAGCAGAGCTACAGAAGTTTACATCTGGCTCTGGTACTTCCACCCAGGTGCAGCAGTCTACAATAGCAGTGTACTGTACAGAATCAACTAAATATAAGTCTACACACCCTCATCAGAAGCACATCATTAACAAACTCGTCAATTTTATTGTGCAACTTTTTCTCAGTTGTGGAGTCAAAAGATTTTCAAGATTTAATGGCAGCCATGGGTTCATGGTATATTCTTCCCAGTCGCAAGCATCTGTCCACAATGTTGAATGAAAGCAGGTTTGGAAGTCCAACAAAAAGTCATCTCTCTACTGCAACTTGTACCCAACATCAATGTCATTGTGGATATGTGGAATAGCAGACAAATGTACAAGTTTCTTGGAGTCACTGGTGATTTTATGCTTGACTGGAAAATGTTAACAATCGTGCTGGCATGTCGGCGTTTCAAGGGGTGTCAGACATCTGATAACATAACAGCTCAATATGATGAAATAATAAATCTCTCTAACATCAACAACAAGGTGTCATATGTAACATCTGATAATGCATCCAACATGATCAAGGCTTTCTGCTTGCCTGGATTTAAACCACAAACACTACCTAGTGTGAGAGATGATGATAACTCATCTACAGATAGTGACACACTACCTAGTGCGAAAGATGATGATAACTCATCTACAGATAGTGACACACTACCTAGTGCGAGAGATGATGATAACTCATCTACAGATAGTGACACACTACCTAGTGCAAGAGATGATGATAACTCATATACAGATAGTGACACACTACCTAGTGCGAGAGATGATGATAACTCATCTACAGATAGTGACACACTACCTACTGTGATAGATGTTGATAACCCATCTACAGATAGTGACACACTACCTACTGTGATAGATGT